AAATGGGGTGCACCGGCATGGATCATGGAACTACGTGCCACCTCCATGACCAAGCCGATGCGCCACTCAGCGACCCCATTCTGCTGTGGGGAGTCCGGCAGTGTGTACATCTGGGTGATTCGCTCCACATGACAGATCTGGCCAAGTCGACCGGAGGCAAACTCACCGCCACGGTCGAAGTGGAGACACAGCACAGGCTGAGCACGGTGTACTCGAGAAGCTACAAGCCACGGGATAAGTATGTCAAGCACGCCGGCCTTCCGCTCCAGGGGAAGCACCGTGGTGTAGCGCGAGTAGTCGTCTACAAGAACCAGAAAGTAGTGCTCGCGACGCGGTGCAGGAACGAGGGCTGGGCCCCAGATATCAAAGTTGTAAGAAATAGAGTTGAGATGATTAATTAGGTAAGGAGCCCAAGGCTCTATAAATACATGGCAAGGTGAGAAAGAATGGACAAAGGGGGAATCAGAGGGAATCCCCACTGGGATATCCAGAATCTCAAATTGGGTAATTGGAGATTGGGGGGATCACAAGTGGGTGATGTTGGCATTTTGTGAGTACACCCCAACCCACTACAACATTCCTAACCTAAACTTGGATATAAAAGTAAAAATAGTGAGTACAAATATCATTCCCAACCTGTCTCCTGTCTGTCCCACACTTCACCGTTAGGGGAGTTACAGTAATGTTTGAAGGCACAAAGTGTGTGCTCAAGAGGGGGGAGCGGTTGTTGGCAACTAGGGAGAAAGAGGGTGGCAGGGATCATGGGTTGATGAGGATGCAGCTTCCACAGGCTCGAGGAAACCAAGGAAATGCTCTTGCCGCTCGCCCACTCACATCTCTCTCTCCCCTCACTCTCGCCCATCGCTGACTTGGTAAACACTTCAGCAGATGGCCAGGGGCAGCAGTGTCATTGGATTGGATATTGGGGGGGTCGGTGGGGATTGCCCCCCCTTGTGAGTCATGCTTATTGGGGAAGTCGGCAAGGAAGCCGTTTCCTCATGAGGCATCACGGGCCCTTGGACCCTTGGATGAGGTTCACATGGACTTGTGGGGCCCTGTGTGCATGCCGTCCTTGGGAGGGGCGGTGTATGTACTCAGCCTCATTGACAACTTCACCAGGTGCGTTTGGGCATTCCCCCTGCCCAACAAGGAATCTGCCACTGTGGCCCTTGCTCTTCGCAAGTGGCACAAGGATGTGGAGCAGGCGTCTGGCCGTCAGCTGAAGGTGCTTCGCTCCGACAGGGGTGGCGATTTCCTAGGGAAAGCAGTGAAGGCATGGAAGAGCGAGTTCAGCATTCAAACTCACTTGACTGTAGCGGACTCGCTGCAGCAGAATGGGGTGGTAGAGAGGTGGCACCGGATGATGGCGGAGGGGATTTGCACCTTGTTGGCGGGCAGTGGTCTCCCAGCAAGATTGTGGGGTGAGGCCCTGATGTGGGTTGTGTGGGTCAAGAATCGGGTACCCCATAGTGCATTGCCTGCCCTTATCACTCCGCTTGAGGCTTGGTCAGGACGCAAACCGCATGTCGGCATGGCTCGGGTTTGGGGTTGCATGGGGAGTGTGATGCTACATGGACCGGAGCGGAGTGGGAAGCTAGATGCACGGGCCGTTATGTGCGTCTTCACTGTTATTATATACCACGCTATCTGATTTGTGTATATTCTGTGTACACCTGTGTTGGGTTGTCAATCCAACCCGATTGTGTTTCGAGCCCCCAAACACAAGGACCACAATTGTGGGGGCACCACAAGTGGGTTGCTCAAGCCACTTGTGGTCCACCACATTTGGACCACTTCCCATTTGTGGTCAACCATATTTGGAAGGATATCCCCTCCCTTGTTATTGGTCCTAACCCCCACCTTCCCTTCCAACCTTCCCAGCCTAGCTCATCTCTCTTCCACTGTAATGCCTTTGCTTCATCAATAAACTCAACATTTCTATTTCAAACCTGGTGTAGAGCAACAAGGTCTCACACCAAATTTTAATCCCGGACCTTCCCCCCCCCTTCCGCTCCGTCCCCTTCTGACGTGCACCTCATTGCCGTATGCTGCTGCTAGTCTCCTTGCCACCGCCTCTCTTTCCCGCCACAGCTAGTTTTATGTTGGATGCAATTCCAAGCAACCCCAGCGTGCCAAACGCAATAGCTCACTTTCTAGTTGACATAATTGAGTGATTTTATATGCAGGAGAAAGCTTTTGTTTTCAGCAACAACGTCGTCAATTTTGAGAGTGTTTTTCAAAGTTTGCACTTTCCTGGATGTGATGAGGAAGTGCTGCTGAAATTTCTACCAAGTCCTACTTTCATGATAACAGCCATCTTTCCTCATCTTTTGCATCCTCACCTGCGCCTGCTCATCGCCCCCTCACCGTTGCTTCAGCCGCAGCAGCAGCAGCCGCGGAAGGAGGAGCAGCTGCACCAGCAGCAGCAGCAGTCGGAAAAGAAGCTGAAGCAGCAGCCGGACGAACTGCAGAAGCAGCAGTAGCAGCAGCAGCAGCCGGAGCAGTAGCAGCAGCAGAAAACGAAGGAGCAGCAGCAGTAGCTGCAGCCGTCCCCATCCGCCCCTCCTCCTCCTCGAGCCGCCGCGGGTCCACCCATCGTTGCTCACTCCCGGGCATCGCGGTCCACTCGCTGTCGCCTTCCTCCCACTCCATACCACGAATGGCGTCCTTTCCCCCTCCCGTCGAAGTCTCGACCCTCGATCATCTCGTGCGCGCTACCGAAAACTCAGCAACCAACTGCTATTCCTTCGTCGGCAGCCTCCACTGAAACCTCGGCAGCACATGTGTCCTGCCGTTCCGCATCCTGGACATCATGCTTGGTCTCCCAGAGGGTGAGCTTGGGGACCCGCCGCCTCACCCAGGCGATTTCCCCCCTCTGATTCCCCATCCTGGCAAGAAACCACTCCTCTCCCCCCCCCGTGGTACCCGTTGGCACCGTCACTTGTACTGCCGCCACTGAAGTTGAACAGCTCATCATTAGTCAGTGTACGAGTTTCTCGTACTCCATACAGATTACCTGATCGCTTTGGAGGAACACAAGCGGTCCACCACCCTCCGCACCCAGCATGCCGCTACCGGTGCCGCTTATGCCGCTGACTCCGCGAGATTTGCTGAGCGTCGTCGCGCTTGGCTCGATGCGAACAGCCGTGCTACTGGTGCCCTTCTCCTTGCCATCCTGTCATGCGCAACTTCCAGGAACGTCGCATCAGCTCCCGCCAAATCTGGCTCAAGCTTGGGGCAATGTTCGAACGCACCGACATCGATGCTGTTGGACAGATCTACAAGGAATACTTCAGCGCCGTTGCCTACACCAGCAGCCTTCTGGACCTTGCCTCCCGCCTAGAGGCTTGGCAGAGTACTCTCCCCTCCAACCTCCAAATCTGCCGCCTCCTCGAATGCCTCTCCTTCCTGTTGGTGCATATTCGTTTGCACGTCATCCTGTCGTCTGTTCGCATCATTTCGTTGCATGTGTTTTGTGTGCTACGTTGTTTGAATGGTTTGTTGGGTTTGCATGTCTTTGCATGTTGATCTTGTGCTTGTGCACATGTGCTTGGATTGTGCATGACATGGAGCACATTCCAACGAGCCAAGAATTGTTGGAATCGGAGCACATATGAAGAAGTTACGAAGAAATGTTCAATGGATTTGTTACAACTCATTGGAAGTACTTGGCAGCTGCTACACCAAAGTTGGAGAGCCCTATAATGAGGAGGGACCAGCATGTGTGGGACTTTTGTCCTCACCTTGCAGCTGCAGCATTTGGGGTTTGGAGGCCAACATGGCACAGTGTGAATTTTGTCTTGCCAGGCTGGTTGAACCTGAGGATGGGGAGTCAAGACTTTGACTCTTGTCATGTTCTTGACCAAGGGCCTCCAGGGTCCTTCCCTTTCATCCTTCCCTTCCATCCCCACCATTAAACTGTGCTTCAATCCCTATTCTATCATGCCTTTGAACTTGTAAGCTTCAATCATATTCACTGAGGACAGTCAATTTCTCCTAGGGCAGATTACCCCCCAGTGCGCCAAACGTCATAGCTCACTCGATAAGCTATGGAATCGAGTGATTCAACTTTCAGTGCAAAGCTGATGCTGCAAGCTACAATATATCTGATGTTCAGATTGTTTCACCAATTGGAGTTTTGGATATAGCTTTTCGAAGGTCGCGAGTTTTTTGGGCGTCATAACCAAGTGCTGCAGAAATTTCCAAGGAGCCATTAAATCATCTGCTTATAGCCTTCTCTAACCAACAAGTGGTATCAGAGCCCATTATTACGCATTTGGGACCTAAAATATGATGGGAGATAAGGAGGACTCTGGTGGAGGTGATGCTTCAGTCCAAGGAGGCAGCTCAACCCAAGATTCTGGCATTGCAGCGCAAAGGGGAGCGCTTACAAGCCAGGGGTCACCATTGAGAAGTTCTCTGAAGATGGCTATGATGATTGGGCACGGAAGATGCAGCTCTACTTTCGACAATTTTGCCTTTTGAAGCTCATGATTAGAATGGAGCCCAGGCCAAAAGAAATGGCAGAGCAAGCAGACTTGGATGAACGTTCATCTGCTGGGTATTATCTATTGTCACAAAGCTTGGAGCTGAACCAGAGGCATCACATCATGCCTCTGCTACCGGAAACTGATTGTGGGCCCAAGGCATGGGCAGTGCTCAAGGAGCTGCACGCTCCGACATCAGTTGCCGCTTCTCTCATGCTGGATGGGGAGCTGTCCATGCTGCGGTTGAGCGAGAATGAACCTGTGCAGCCCGTACTAGACAAGATGAGGGAACTCTACGCGAAATTGGCCATTGCTGGCATCACGTACTCTGAGCAGACTAAGTGTCTCAAGATGCTCAGCCTGCTGCCCAAGTCTTGGCTGCAATTTATAAGCGGACTCAGCTTGCCACAAAACCAAAGTCAATGGACATTGGAGTGGATTCGCACCAAGATTCTGGAAGAAGTATTTCGTCGCTATACACTGCCCGGAAGTGATGACAGCACCAGCGGCTATACCATGCAAGGGACATGGAGGGATCGAGGGCGTGGCAATCGCGGTCGCTCTTACTACAGCCAAGGTGGTCGCGGGACTGGGAACCAGCGGGGGCGTGGTGGCGCTGGTGCAAGAGGAAGAGGTGGTCACTCCAACAATGACAACAGTGAACCACGCTTGAGGGGAGAGTGCTGGTATTGCCAGGAAGTAGGGCATCCATGGTTTCGCTGCTCTACCAAGCCCGACTGGTGGACCCCTTGGAACCAATCGCAAAAGGGGAATGGAGGAAAGCAACTAAATGGAGGTGCCAACATGGTAGCTGATCCTGCTGAAAAAACCTCCAAGGATGACAGAGGAATGGGAAATGAGGAGAGGAATGCTGGACAGTTCTACCATGTGTGTGACAAAGATGACAGTGGCACAGCTGTTGCAAGGGCTGGAGAAGAATTGCACCCGCTTGACGTATGGGTGATGGACTCTGGTGCTGCATGGACAATGACACCACGCAAGGACTTGCTGGATGCTGTGCGAGCGCCTCCAATCTCCGAAGTGCGCTCGGCATCCGGACATGCAGTGAAGGTCGCTGGAGTTGGTCGAGCTGCATTCAGAGGACCTCATGGTGGACTGGTTGTGCTGAAGGACGTGTTACTCGTACCGGGGCTGAAGGCCAATCTGATATCGCTGCGCAAGCTAGGCCAGGCCGGATTCAGCACCACCACCAATGGATCCAAAACATTCAAAGGGCTGCGAGGAGATCGTGTATTATGGGATTCACACGAAAACAGAGATGTCTTCAGATCCATGTAGCACATCCTTGCGCTAATATGGGAATCAACAAAGAAGGAGTTGGGAGCAGTAAAGGCGGGATCTGGAGTCCAGGGGGAGTGCAATACAGTTAGTGCTGCAGGAGTGACGGTTTCTGCAAGGTCGGGGGAGACTGATTGGGAAACCGCACACAGGCGTCTAGGGCATGTGGCTATGCCATTGCTGCAGCAACTGCATAAGGAAGAAGCAGTAAAGGGGCTGAAGCTTTCTGGGCAACCAAATTATACCAAGTGCGAGACGTGTCTGCTGAGCAAGTTCACACGGTTCCCCTTTCACGGCGTAGCTGGGAAAAGCAAGGCAGCACTGGAACTGGTGCACATGGACCTGGTAGGACCTTTTCCAGTTCAAGGAAGTAAAGGGGAAAGGTATTTCCTGACAATAGTTGATGACTGGAGTTGTCTGATGTGGGCATACTCGTTGAAGCAGAAGGATCATGCTGCCTCAACAATACGAGATGACAGGCTGCCGTTCGTCGAGCGACAATCTGGGCACCCATGCAAGAGCATCAGAACCGACCGAGGTGGAGAGTTTCTAGGAGGAGATCTGACTGCGTGGCTCAAGAAACAAGGCATTGAGCATCAGCTAACGACGTCCTATACCCCTCAGTCAAATGGCATTGCTGAGAGGGCTAATAGTGTCATCTTGGAAATTGCGCGAGCGCTGCTAATCGAATCAGGGCTGAAGAACTCCATGTGGCCTCATGCGGTAAGGCATGCTACAGTGGCAAGGAACCGCGTACTCACAAAAGTGGCTGATGATATGTGGGTGCCGCTAGAGAGGTGGCTTAGAAAGAAGCCTCCAGTGGACATGCTTAGAGTGTTCGGATGCATGGCTGTGGCGCATGTCCCTAAACCGTACAGGACAAAGCTTGGAGCATCTGCACTGTGGTGTGTGCATCTTGGGCTTGCGGCAGAGAGCAAGGGGTGGCTACTCTGGGAGCCCTCAAAGAATCTGCTGTTTGACAGTCGGGATGTCAAATTTGTGGAGAACATCATGTATGGCAAGTGAGAGAAGCAGCCAGAGCCAAGGGTCACTCAGCAGCTGGAAGAGATCACTATGCACTTCGATTTCTCCGAACCTGAGGACAGCGAAGTCACTGCGCCAATGGCAAGCGGTACTGATAAAGGAAGCAATGGGGATATTAAAGCTGATGTTGAAGTCAAGGATCCGGAGCAGCAGCAGCAAGAGGCTTCCAAAACACCAAGTCTGCCAAAGCGAAGGAAACAGATTGGTGGGGGGACAAAGGATTGGGTGAAGGTGAAAGAATGCGTAAATCCAACCATCTACCCTGCACGTACCAGAATGGCAACGAGAAAGCTGCTGAGCTCTACAAGTGGAGGAGCCACAACTGAGCAGCAGCAACAGGCTCAATGCGAAGATGCAGTGCTGCTCTTGGGTGATGACCAAGAGTCAGATGACGAGGAGCCTGCATACTACTTTTACGCACCAATACAACCTCGGAGCATGGATCATGCGCTAGCCGGGCCTCAACGGAGGAAGTGGCTCGTTTCAAGAGATGCAGAGTACAACAGCCAGATGGAGAATCACACATGGGACCTGGTGTACTCGCCAAATGCGAAGATGGCAATACAGTGCAAGTGGCTGGCACAAATCAAGACGGATGAGAAAGGAGAGCCATCATTTTACAAGAGCAGGCTGGTGGCAAAGGGGTTTCATCAGAAAGAGAAGGAAGATTACAAAGAAGTGTTTGCCTAAACTGCTAAGTCTCCAATGCTACGTGTGCTGCTGGCGGTAGCTGCTGTGCGCAAATGGAAGGTGAAGCAGATGGACATCGTAACCATTTTTCTGTACGGCATTATGGAAGAGGAGGTGTACATGGTTCAACCACCTGGCTATGAGGATGGAACCGATCGTATCTGCAAACTTAACAAGGCAATCTATGGCTTGAAGCAGGCCCCGAGATGCTGGTACAACAGGCTGGCCAGTGCACTGGAAGGGATTGGATTCCGTGCAAGTGCATGCAACGAGAGCCTATTCCTGATGGGCGAGGGGGAGTCACTTGTGCTTCTGCTGGTGTACGTGGATGACATCTTGCTCTTCAGCAGCAGTGACAAGGAGATCGATGGGGTGCAACGGAAGCTCACAGAGGATTTCAAGTGCAAGTCACTTGGAGAGGCAAGGTACTACCTGGGAATGCACATTGAGCGGGATACTGAACGTGGCTGGCTCAAACTGCATCAGGGACAGTACATCCACACCTTGGCTGAGAAGTACTCTCTGCAGGAAGAACAGACAGTGGTCACACCTTTGCCTTCCGAGTTCAAACTCATAAAGGCAGCTGAAGGAGAAGGAGTTCAGAGTGAAGACCAGAGGCAATTCCAATCCATGGTCGGGAGCCTACTCTACGCTGCTGTGCATACTCGGCCTGACATCAGCTTTGCTGTGGGACAGCTGGCTTGAGTAGTGCAAAATCCAACAAAATAGCAGTATGGTGCAGCGTAGAGAGTGGTGCGCTACCTCAAGTCATACCCTACAGTGGGAGTACAGTATTCAGCCTCTGCTCAACTCAGTCAAAAAGGAGTTGAAGTCGTCAAAGAGAAGGGGGAGCAGCTCGGAGAAGGAAAGGTGTTCTTTTCCTGTTTTGCTGATACCACATGGGGGCTTCTGAGCATGAGGATTCATCATCAGTAGGTGGATACATCTGCATGGTGAGAGGTGGGCCTGTAAGTTGGAGGTCCAAGAAGCAGTCTGAAACGGCACTATCTTCAGTGGAATCTGAGTACATGGTGATGTTTCATGCGGCAAAAGAAATCATTTGGCTAAGGAGGCTCTTGAAGGAGATCGGCCATGAACAGACTTGTGCGACACCTCTGTTCAGTGACAGCAAGGGAGCCATTGCCATGGCACGCAATGCAGTTCTTCATGGGTTGAACAAGCACATGAGGATCAAGTGGCATTGGCTGCGGAAGGAGGTGAAGCTTGGGACACTGGATCCGATCTACGTGAAAACTCAGCAACAACCAGCCGACTTCCTTACCAAGCGGCTAGCTGAAAAGCCACGCTGGCGCTGTGCGAGGATGGCGGGAATGTCCTTGAACTAGAGACGGCGAAAAAAGCTGACAGTCTGAGGGGGAGTGTGTTGGTGCATATTCGTTTGCACGTCATCCTGTCGTCTGTTCGCATTATTTTGTTGCATGTGTTTTGTGTGCTACGTTGTTTGTATGGTTTGTTGGGTTTGCATGTCTTTGCATATTCATCTTGTGCTTGTGCAGATGTGCTTGGATTGAACATGACATCGAGCACATTTCAACGAGCCAAGAATTGTTGGAATCGGAGCACATATCAAGAAGTTACGAAGAAGTGTTTGATGGATTTGTTACAATTCATTGGAAGTCCTTGGCAGCTGCTACACCAAAGTTGGAGAGCCCTATAACGAGGAGGGACCAGCATGTGTGGGAATTTTGTCCTCACCTTGCAGCTGCAGCATTTGGAGGTTGGAGGCCAACCTGGCACAGTGTGAATTTTGTCTTGCCAGGCTGGTTGAACCTGAGGATGGGGAGTCAAGACTTTGACTCTTGTCATGTTCTTGACCATGGGCCTCCAGGGTCCTTCCCTTTCATCTTTCCCTTCCATCCCCACCTTCCAACTGTGCTTCAATGCCTTTTCCATTATGCCTTGGAACTTGTAAGCTTCATTTTTAGTGACTCTGAGGACTGCGAACTTCTCCTAGGGCAGATTACCCCCCAGTGCGCCAAACGCCATAGCTCACTCGTTAAGCTACGGAATCGAGTGATTTGACTTTCAGTGGAAAGCGGACGCTGCAAGCTACAACAGATCCGTTTTTCAGATCGTTTCACTGATTGGAGTTTGGATATAGCTTTTCGAAGGTCGCGAGTTTTCTGGGCGTCATAACGAAGTGCTGCAGAAATTTCCAAGGAGCCATTGAATCATCTGTTTATAGCCTTCTCTAACCAACACCTGCTTATCACCGCCCGACTGTTACTGCAGCCAAAGGAGCAGCAGAAACAGCAGCTGCAGCCGTACGAAGGAGCAGCAGCGTCACCAGCGGCGCCAGCTGGAGAAGTGGCTGCTGCAGCAGCCAGCGGAGTCACAGCAGCAGCCGCACCAGCAGGAGCAGCAGCAACAATAGCCACAGCCGTCCACGTCCTCCCCTTCTCCTCCTCGAGCCGCCGCAGGTCCACCTGCCGTCGCTCCCGCCCGGCCACCGTGGGTGCACCTGCTGTCGCCTTCCTCCCACTCCGTGCCACCAATGGCGGCCATTCCCTTCCCGTCGAGGTCTCAACCCTTGATCACCTCGTGCGCGTTGACAACAACTCAGCAACCAACTGGTATTCCTTTGTCGGCAGCCTCCACCGCATCCTCAGCAACGCATACGTCCGGCTGTTCTGCCTCCTGAACATCATACTCAATCTCCCAGAGGGTGACCTTGGGAACCCCCCCCTCTTATTCCCCATCCCGGCGATGAGCCTCCTCCCGCCGTGGTACCCGTTGGCACTGGCACTAGTACTGATTAAGTTGAGCAGCTCTTTGTTACTCAGCATCTCGACTTCCTCGTGCTCCATGCTGATTACCTGACCACTTTGGACGAACACAAGCGGTCCATCACCCTCCACACTCAGCATGCCGCGACCGCAGCCGCCTATGCCGCTGACTCCGCGCAATTTGCTGAGCGTCGTCGCGCTTGGTTCGAAGCAAACATCCGTGCTACTGGTGCCCGACACCTTGCCATCCCGTATGCGCTCATGCACAACTTCCAAGCACGTCGCATTGGCTCCAGCCAGATTTGGCTCGAGCTTGAGGGGATGTTCGAGCGCACCGACTTCAACGCTATCAGGCCTCTTCAAAGAATACTTCAGCATCATGATTGATAATAGTGATGGCACTATTGTCTACACCAGCCGCTTCCTAGACCTTGCCTCCCACCTTCAGGCTCGCACACTACTCTCCCCTCTAACCTCCTGGCCTATCGTCACCTCGATAGCCTCTCCCCTCAGTTTGAAGTGCACATCATAGCCTTCACTAAGTCTCCCTCGACACTATGGTCCAATGGATCATTAGCACTGTGGCCTGCCTCTTCTGAAACCCCCCCTCTGCCCTCAACTCCATGCAGTCCCCAACCCCCCAGCTTCAAGTCGCGCAGCCGCACCGTGGCGGTTGCCCATTTGGCGGCCGCACCAACCCTCAGGGAGGGGGTGGAGGTGGCGGTAATGGCAGCAACAAAGCCAGCGGCAGTGGTGGCGGCAGTGGCAGGGCCGAGGTACATGCAGATCTGGGTTTTGGGACCAAGCTTGCCACCTTGCTTCCTGCGCCTGTGGGGGCTTAGCAACACATACGCGGTACACCCCCAGATGCGTAGAGAGCGGGCGGAAGGCGTGACCCCAAGCCAGAGAGCGGTAGGTGTGGTCTCGGGCCGGTGGGGATGCGGATAAAGATTTTTAGAGGAGTGTCGCATGGAAGAGGGCATATCCCCAGAGTGACCGTGGTGCATTGGCGTGACTGAGGAGGCAGCGAGCGATCTGAACCAAGGTGTGGTTGCGGCTCTCTGCAATGCCGTTCTGCTGCGGGCTTTCGGGGAGCGTAAAGGTTTGCCGAATCCCTTGGGCCGCACAGAAGTTATCGAGTTTGCCATTGCGAAATTCTCCCCCGCCATCAGAATGGAGGCACTTCAGAGGAGTGCCGAACGTGACTTGAGCCTCGCGCACCCACGCCATGATGACATCAGGTGCCTCCGCCTTGGTATGCAGGAGGTGCACAGAAACATACCGCGAGTGGTCATCGACTAGTGTAAGAAAGTACCGATGACCGCCTCGGGATGCGACTGGAGCTGGGCCCCAGACATCCATGTGCACTAGGTCCAGCGGAGCAGCTGCGACGGATGGGGAGGAAGGGTGCGGCTGCTGCCTGAGCTTGCTCTTGGTGCAGTCCAGGCAGGTGGGTGCAGGCGAGTCTGTTGGTGGAGGAAGCGCCGACGGGAGGCCAAGAAGAAGTTTCTTGGAAGCGATGTCGGCAAGTGTACGGAAGTTGGGGTGACCCAAGCGATGGTGGTAGAGGATGGTTGGGTTGGCGAAGCTGCGACACGAACACGGAGTGGTGCTGGCAGCTTGCGCTTGGGAGAGGGCGGCGAGAGGTGCAGGTGAACGCAGCGTGTAGAGCTTGCTACTGTTGAGTGTGAAGCGTGCTAGGAGCTTGTTGGACTTAGGGTCGAAGAGGTCACAGTGATCCGAGTGTGCTGGGAAGATCGTGGTGACGCCTGCCCGTTGGAGCTCGTGTTGGGCCACGAGATTGTGGCGTAGTGTGGGAACACACATGCCCGTAACACTGCCCGAAGGAAAAGCTGGGCACGGAACTGTGGAGGAGCCCTTGGCGTGTGTTGTGAAACTGGAGTCTGCTCCTAGTAAACGGATTGGTGTCTCGTATGGCTTGAAGGAGTGTTCTTCCTTGAGAATCGTGTGAGTGGCCCCATTGTCGAGGGTGAACTCTATTGTAGCTGAGGTGCTTTGTGAGCCAGGATACTGCGAAATCGTCTCATTAATCATGGCAGTGCCAGGGAACAACATGTTGAGGCGCACATCAGCAGGTGCAGCCACAGCAGCCTGCACGGATTCCTGCGCTTCGACTTGATTGACTTGGCGAGGAGCACGATTGACCATCCAGCTTGGCGGCTTCGACGCGGTCCCATTGACGGCATACTATTCGTTATCCTTCTCCTTAAAGCAGGAGGCAAGGGCGTGGTTGGTGCTGCCACACACCTGGCCAGCACGAGGGCCACGCTTGATGACGTAGGGACACGGGGGGAAGCGGTTGCGCTGGAATGGCGCCGAAGCGGCATAGGCTTGAGGCACGGGAGGGCGGATTGCATTGGCCTTGGCTTGAGCGCTGTTGTCCTTTTCGGCAGAAAGGAGCGCGGATGAAACCTTGGCAAATGTGAGGTCTGCAGGAGCAAGGCCCAAGAGTATCTTGCGTGTGACTTCGTATGCCGGAGTGAGGCCGACTAGGAGAGCGGCTGCAGGGGCTTGCTCGGAGAAGACTATCCCCAACTGTTTGAGTTCACCATAAATGGACTGCACCTTGGTGACATAGTCCAACATGCCTGGCGAGTCCTCGAGCCGCACTTGGAACATGCTGGGGATGAGTATAGCAACTCCCACTACAGTCTTGTTCAGGAAGCGATCTTCGAGGTAGAGCCAAATGGCGTTGGCAGACGGGTAGTTGTGGTAGGTTTCGACGAGTTCGGGAGGAGTGGTGCCCATGAAGACACTAATGACCGCACCATCGGCCTTCTCCCAATTCTTGTACTTGAGCAGTGCAGCAGCATAAACTTCTTCGGCGGTGGCATTAGCTGGATCGGCGGACCTCTCGGGTTTACGAGGCTCTTTGCCGTCACCGATGTTGAGAAGGACGTCGGTGAGCTCGAGCCCCTTCACCTCGCGACTGAGGAGGTGCTTGTCGATACCATAGCGCCAAGCCTTGTAGTTGGAGCATGTGCCGTCCGGCTCGAGACGAAGTAGCGGGATCGGGTTGGCGAGTGAAGTGGTTGAGTAAGCCATTGTCGGTGTGCAGCGCGGCACTTCTGGAAATTGGTCGACGAGAATTGCTGAAAATCAATCTGACGGCTGTATCAAAATGCCGCTAAATAGGAAATGGCGTCGGCGAAAATTCGTTGGGCCTATGTGGCAACAAATTTGCCCACACACCCGAATCGGGCAATTCGTTAAAACGCCTATGGGCCTCAGATTCAGTTTCAACGGGGTTAAAACACAGTTGGAGTTGAAACTGAATCTGAGCCTATGTCTAACCCCGTACCCACACACCCCCCCACACACCCCCAGGCCCTGTCCCGCAGCTACTCAGCTCCGCAACCAGATCCGCAACCAGCTCCGCTCCGCTTCAACCTGTGTACCTGCTCGTGATTTGACGCGAGACGTTCGTGGAGGCAATTTCGCGAGGGGAGTTCGCCTATTCTGGCGGGGTCTGAGGGGAAACTCGAGAACGAGTTTTAAGAGATGGTTGAAATTGAGATTCGACCAAGGAGAACCGAGGAGGAAATCGACGATGAGAAGCGTGAAAGCTTCAGAGATGAGAAATTCAACGAGGTCGAGCGCGAAGGC